AGTTCCTTACAGTTGATGTGACCAGGGCTTCCCAGTCACAAGAGAAGGGCAAGGAAAGAAAGCAAAAGTATGAAACTGTGAGATTGCCCGTTTAGGAGTGAGTTCATACAGAAGCAGCAGCCGCGCAAATGATAAGAGTGCCACTGAAGGAAAACAGGATAAGATTGCAACTGAACGATGCAAGTGTTGCGAACGGCCCTTTTTTTACCGGAAATGAGATGCGCGGACTCCAGCGCGAAGGGTTGTGAGACGTTCGCTTTGGCTCATCCCCTCAGAAAGTACAAGCAGAATGGAGGGGGGAAAAAGCAAGGTGAACATCATAGTTCTGACGCAGTCCACGAACCGCTACGACTGCGTACAGGTTCGGTGGTTCCTTCTGGTGCCTGGCAGGACAGTTTCAAAAGGGCGCTTTTGTGTTTGAGTCATGTGCATGCATGTTCAGGGCACATACTCGGATGCATAGTTACAGGAAGAAGGCTGAAATGAAAGCCTGCCCCGATCCATTCGATGGACTTGATGCTAGAGGGGCCTGGGCGCAACATGTTTTCACTCTATGTGCATGCACGTAGAGGACACAAAGATGGCTGTATACTGTATACTTACATTAACACCGTTGATTACACAACACAATGGCCTGCCGCGATGGATTGGATGGACTTGATGCTTGAGGGGCCTCGGTCCAAAAATGTTCAGTCTATGTGCGTGCACGTACAGGACACATACATGGCTGCCAACCTTTTACTAAAGAATTTTGCAGCTCGCAAATGATTGCCAAAGTACCGCTTCAGCCGCAGAGGGCACCATGGCGGCTTCAGCATCTGCACCAGCCTTAGCGGGCCCAGGGATGCACACAAATGGTAAAGCAACGAAAGCAGTCATTTAAGTCCCCAACCGGTCGGCAAAGCCACTGTTGCGCAAGACGCTGCATGCGCGCCATAATTCCAAACGGAACGTGGGCGCTGCCATGCAAGCATCTGCGAACGAAAAGGAAGCAAGCTGCTCAACAGAGAGATGTTGCTGCTCGAGCGCAGCCCTCCACAAATCCAACGAATGAAACAGGCTGCCAACCCTGGGTCATTGTGTGGCCGAAGAGCTGCTTGCCGGGGTGATGACAGCTGCGCCGGTTGGCGCGCAGAACGGGAAGGAAGAAGGATTGGCACCGAGTCTTGCTCTGACACAGGGATCTTTTTTTGACGAGAAGGGAAAGTGGGGGCTTGCAAAGAAATCAGTTCCAAATCCAAGAAAGCAGCATGAGTGTGCTCACAGGAGCCATGCAAGCCGAATGTCTCGCAGAATGCACAAATCGCCTGCACATGGGGCGTGGAATCCGAATCTGAAGGTTGGCGACACCAAAATTCACTAGCTGCAGGCCCGACCACTACAAGAACATAAGACTGGAGCGTTTTGACCAATTTCTCCACATCTTCTAAAGGTTCCGGCCCCAAGCCCAAAGCCACCAAAGCTTGCGTCACAGCAGCATCCGATGTCGAACGCAAAAGGGAAGCAAATGTTTCTGGAAAGGATGCAGGAGGTGGGGTGACCTCGGTGTCCTCAGCACGGATCCATTTTGTGGCTGCACGGTCAAATGTTGCCAAAGTTCGACGCATGCAAAGAAACACAGAGCCATGGCCATCGTCCCAACGTTTCGTGGCCCCTGTTCGATGGAATTGCTCGGCTGAAGTCCGCCCCTGTTTTGTGAGAGCATTGGAATCGAAGAGCACAGCTTTGTCAGGAAACGGCTCATTTGGAACATCAGTTAGAGATGTGTTGGAAGCTCACAAGTTCTGCAGACGCGAGGAGGCGAACGAAGACAAAGATTGGACCAAGACCGGCAAAGATTGGCGGAGACCCATATACTTTTTTAGCTTCTGTCCGTGCCACGACTCTTGCGCCTGCGTGCCGGAAGCAGACCCAGGCTGTATGCGCTGGATTCCGCACCACCAATCAGCCGTGTAAAACAAATCTGGACCACCAGGCCAATTTGCAAGTCCATACGCACTTTTTGCTTCTTCTTCTGAGAGTAGCGAGAGATAATGTTTTCGAAAGGCTTTGGCCGCAGGACGCTCTGAAGGCTGTTGCGCCAGAAGAGTTTGGAGCAAGACATGAGTGACTGTGTGGAATATGAATAGGAGAGCTGTTGGGAGGGAACGGAGGCAAAATATCGCACGCTCTATCAAAGGCACAAGCTTTTGTCCAAAGGTTGACAAATGCTTTTTCATGGTGGCAATGACACCAGCCCTATAGGCAGCAATTCTCTCACATGGGGCGTCGAACGATTTTTTGGGGCGGCTACATGCACCCAGGAAATGCGCCCAGTCTGTGACACGAAGTGCTTTTGCAAAAGCTGCCTTCACTGCCAAATCCTCGCCATAATGCATGTGAGCATGATATTGGGCGCATGCTTCTCGGAGGCTCATCCCGGCAAATTGGAGAGCGCAAGATTCCAGCGCATCGAAAAGAACTTGGTAGGTGGGCTGGCTCTCTTTGTTGGCAAGGGCAAAAAGAAGAGGGTCAAAAGAGGTGCGGAAAGCATGAAATCCATCAGCCCGAGCATAATGCTTAGAGAGCACGCCAACAGTCATCAACACCCATTCATCCCTAGTCAGCCGGAATGTCCCATCTCCACACAATTTGATGTACTTCTGGTTGTCTAGGCGGCCTAAGGTTTCTTTCAACAACAAGGGATTGCAAAAGACAACCACGGTAGCATCATCCGTATGCACAGAAGCTGTAATCTTCAGGGTGTCAGACGCCTCTGTCAGGTTGTGGACCGTGCCAAGCTCCCGTTCCAGCTGCCGCCAATCTGCTTCCACCCACTTGTGAGATGTCAACCGGTCCTCTGGTGTTCCTCTATGGGGCCTGTGGTTCTTTGCCATGTACTCAGGAAGGTATCGCTGGGCCGCGCTTGGTGCTGTTCAACCACTTTGACAAGATCTTGCAATGTGAACCGGTGGTTATCTGCTACGAAGGCTTTGAGCGCATTTTCGGCAGTGGCTGTCAAGGGATTCCATGTTTTGACAGCCTTGAAGTCTCCATGCTGGTCTAGTGGCGTGTAGGCCCTAGTAATTTGTTTTGTGGCATCATCGTAGATAGAATATCCTCTCCAGCCTGACCGCTCTTTGCATGAGGTACAAGAATTGCACCAAAGGAAAATTTTGTGGCCACCTTTGTATGGGCAATATTGGTGCTGAAGGGCGAGCTGTTGCCCAGGAACTGTGGCTGTGGCCCATCTCCTTTCATGCTCCATAAAAGCTTTCCTGTCGAGAAAAGGATTCTCACAGGCGATGACGCTCCTCTGTGTGTAAATGCGCCCATTCATCCAGTCCATCGCCGATCTAGACTCTAATCCACAGGCCAAGGGTGCCCTTCGATGGAGAAGCTGGCGTTCGTGATGAAGTCATAGAAGACTGTCGTTCTTGTTGGCCAAAGTTCTTGGTGCCGCTTTATCACCATCGACGTCACTGTCCAAGCGTCAACCACCTTAGTTGGTGTTGTTGCTGCTGCTGGAGCAGGTAGTGGTTCCAATAGTACTGCTGCCATTGTGCGTCCATGATGATCACAGGTGGAGGGCGATGGTGTTGACGTCCACCACATGCAGCGGGATCCCGTGCTGGCCGTAGACCCCAGTGTAGACTGCCCTCAGCAGCCACCACGGTCTTTACGTCATCCAGCTTGTGGCCTGGCGCCAGATAGACAGACTTCAATACTTCGAGGAAGTTCCGCGCCACCGTCGGAGCGAGTCTCGTGGCATTGGCACCAGTCAGCGCACACTGCATGTCGTCTATGACGCACTGGCCTGTGAAAGAACACAGAGTCCAGCCCACTGAAGATGTCGCTTCTCGTAAGCCAGAGAGATGGCGTAGCACATCACACACTCGTGGTAGATGCTGCTGAACTTTCCGTCTTGCCCCTCGGCCAGCGACTGAAGAGTCCCACAGGCTCATCCGTGCGGTGCTTTGGCTCAGTGCGAGCCCGGCGTGTGACTGAAGTCGGCAGGAAAACCCGAGACAGACTCCGCAGTGAAGGGTGCGGTGGGCGTCGTGTTTGGCACTGATCCACCTTTACTATAAAAATCTATAAAACACGAACAATAACAAATTACACACATTTGGTGGGTCCCACTGTCCCCACTGTCCTTATGTCCCCAACCACCACCTCCTCCACCTCAGGGCGCCCCGCCAAGATGGACATGGGCGAGTGCCCTGCGGCGTCCTTCTGCACCTGGGACGGAGCTCGTTACGCGGCGCCTCCACTGATCAGCTGCACCGGCGACGGCGGCAAACCGCGCGTTTTCTGTTTTTTGCGTGAATAGCACCAGACAGGAAAAAGAAACCTACGGTTGCTGAATATTAGTGGGGTGATCCGTCTACAGATTCTTTCTGCAGGGGCAGAGTAGTGCGGAGTACAGATCTGAGGCAGGCGTTGGTCGTATAACACTTTTCACGGTTCAGAAAAGGATTGATTTAAGGGTGTTTGGCTCAACACATGTCTAAGGATATGAAGGATCCAACCCCCACAAAGGGAACGCAACGGTTGATCTTTGGTCAAGCTGAGTTCTTTTGGGGTGCCCCAATGAGCCTTTTTGCAGCCAAAAAGGTATGAGTTGAGTATGAATTGAGTCACTAACATCTTAAGGATTCCATAGAAGTCACAGCAATGCATAAATTGGGTTAAGTTAGTGTCCATATATACCTCAAAGTCAAAGAAAGCCTGCTCATATATAAAAAAGGAAGAACTGCCAACATAAGGGTTAAGTCGAAGATGTGTGAATGTCCAAGTCACCTCAAGTTTGGCACGGAAGATCGAATGGAGCACACTTCCATGATCCTTGCCACTGTGATATCTTGCTGGAAAGGACGTCTGGTTGGTAGTTTCAACTCACTTGAACAAAAATATCACTGGGTTCAATCATCCCGTTCATGTCTTTTCGAAGAGTATCGCTGCAGGTATCGCCGCGCCGCTTTTTTCCCGTGACGAGCTCTGCTGCGCCGTCTGCCAGCTCAAGACTCCCGGACTGGGACCTGTGGCGAAGTGAATTGGTGGAACTCATGTGGCTGTGGGGTGCTGAGTATGTGAAACACAAAACACACATGTAACTGTTCTTCCTCTGCAAGGAGCTGGCCAAGTGATCAGGACATCACTCCCCATCTCAGAGTCAAATCTAAAGTAAAGTTCACAAGTGCTGCACCAAAGCATTTCATATAGAATTCGAGCATTTCATCGAGCGTTTCCTGCCTTTTGGCCCACTCCCTTCCCTCCCCGCCTCTACCGCCCTGGCCACCTGCCGCGCCACCGCCTCCGCGCTCGGACCCTCGGCCACCCCGTCGGCCGGCGGAAGCGGCGCCCGCGGCGGGGCGAAGGCCAGGTGCGGTTGCCCACAGAGGCGCCGCGCGAGCCACCAGAAGGGCTTCCTTTGCGCGTCCGTGCACGCGCGGGAGCGTCCGGTACCGAGGTTGACGAGCGGGACGAAGGACTCGCGGTGTTTTGGAAGGTACGGAGGACTCGCGGTGAAGGAGGGGATCGGTCAGGAGAAGTGAAACGCGAGAGAAAAATGGATGGCTGATGGAATATATATGGGGGGGGGAGTGAATTTTGGAGACATCCGGAAGACAACGGTCTCCCAGGGAGCAACCGATCTTTATACATCTATTTCTCATGTTTGTTGGAAGTGATGATGAATTTTGCTTGGACTCCAGACAACTTGTTCGGTCCAAAATACATGCTGGCATTTTTGTGTCTCCATTTTAAGTTTTGATACCCAAACTCTCCATGGGGGTGTGCCTGTATAATAGGCTTCTGAAACCATGCCACCCCAATATGTGTACTTGAGAAAAGGGGGGTGGACGAAAGGTTGGTCGGCAGCAGCAGCAGCAGCAGCAAACCCAGCAGCAGCAGATTCATTCGAATCCAAACGATAAAATAAAATAGAGAGAATGTGCTTGCTGCTTGTTCTTCCAGCCCAGATACTCCAGGTTCTGCTGATTTTTCACACTCATCTCGAAGCACTGGAGCCTCGCAGACGTTTGGCACCGTGTCACGGACAGGTGGATTTGACGAACACACCGCGCAGGCTCGCGATGGCTCGCGGATTTGCCATGCTGGCGCAGGTATGCTGTTGGGTGCTTTTTGGTTCCGGGAATCAATTCGTTGATTTTGTGTTTGCAGTCATGACACTAGGCCAAACTCATCCGTTTTTTCATCAGTTTATACCCTTGGTGCCCCCTCTTGGTTGATGGGAAGAACTCCCAACACCGACAGAATCCATCAACACTCGTGCTAGGCACCGAGACACCGAACATTCGGGCGAGCGAAGGCATGAAGGCGGCATGGGTTCCCATGGGTGGAGCCATGTTCCCGTACAACAAAGAGGTGGAGCCATCCAGTTCCAGTTCCTCTTTCAGGCGGTGGGCTGACATCTACTCGCTGAAAAAAGGTCCAAGCGATCAAGGGAGTGTGTCGCCATACCAGCTTCGAGCGAATCTCTGGCTGTTAGCGAGAAGCTGACCGTCAAAAGCCCAAACCAGCTCAAGCAACACATGTTTATACAGGTCAATTGGACCTCATGTCTGCTGAAGTGGATTCCAAAAAATGCTACTCAATGAGGTTTTCAGGACCCGTTTCTGCTGGGTCTTTAAACCTGAAGGGATATCATAATCACAATCTTCACTCATTCCAATCGGCATTTTTTTGCCCAATCAATTCAATGTTCTTTCAAACTCACTCCCTCAGCTTCCCTTGGAAAAAGAAGGTCAACCGAGCTCGAACAAAGAAGTGGGGTGTCCCCAATCAATCCCCCTCCAACAAAAGGGTGATCGGCAGGTGATCCACATTCTTCCTGGGTATACCCTAGACTTCCAAGACCATTAAAACAATGGTTGACCCTGGTTTTTGTAATGCAAAATCCTTATAGTTGATTCGGTATATCAAATCTATACATCAATGATCTTAATGGTTGTTGGAAGCCTAGGGTCAAGGCGGTAGCGATGCCCATCCGCTCCGTCCACTCCGTCCACTCCGTCCGCTCCGTCCACTCGGTCCGGCCAGGCGGCGGCTGCGTCCGCTGGCAGTTCTGCCGTGCCTTCCGCACCGAGTCCTCGGACGGCGCGACGAGGCGCTGTCGAACCACGACCGCCACCCGTTGGTTCGGTCGAGAGGTGGGGATCCGAGGTTCTTTGCTTGGTTTTTGGGTGGAGATTCATGACAGGGGCGCCATTTTTGAGGGGATTAGGTCATTGGAAAGGTCTACTTAGTTACTACTTCTTGTCCCCCTTCTTTGGGTGAAGGTCATGACGACACGTCTCGGTCGGACACAACAGGTCGCGACCACGAAAAACACCGCGTGACACATCCAGGTCTTACCCCGAGAGCGCCCGGTGGTCGACAGGTCTCCCCCGGTTCCGATCCCTTGGATTTCTAGCCAAGTCTGCTGGAACGTGGAGATCCATAGCTCCATAGCAGCTAGCTGATCCCAGAATCAGTTCTGCCCAGCCACTATCCCAGAACCAGTTCTGTTAAAACATGTTTTTTCTGCAAGATTTTTAGATTAGCATAGGTTAGGATATAGATGGACATAGATCAGCACCTGCGGTATCCTGCGGTAGTTTTGGGGATGTTTTGCATAGGTTTGAGTCGTTGCCGAGAACGACTGGGACGACACCAGCGAGCGACTTCGTGGGAACTGCCCAGCAATGCCCTGGGTACCCAAAGGATTTGGACTGGAAGAAGAAGTCCATGGCCGCCAGAGAAAGAACCCCAGTGTATGCCACACACTTTCGTGTTTTGGGGGCTCCAACATGGCCCAAATCCATGGTCATGGTTGTCATCTTCAATGACTGAAGTGAGGCCTTCGGACCCTCCAGCTCAACAGAAAGCGGAAACACGTCCAAGACAGCTAGGGTCGCCGCGCTCGTTAGAGCGAGAACCCCTCTGCTATGACGGAAAGGGTCGACTGCTTCCCCAACAGCGACCGGCGAGCAGGTGGTCACACCCGAGCGAGCGAGCAGCAGCGCGCGACGCAGCGTTCAGCGCTTCGTCCGGGCGACGGCCTCTTTTCGGCAGCTGAGACGAGTGGCAGCAACTCCACGCGGGATGCCGCATGTTTGCCTATACATACAAGGACCTTCCCAGTGACCGAACTTGAGATCTGGCGGGTCGGTCACGAAACGGCCTTGATTTCAGGTCACGTATGCCATGAAGAGGTCACTGGGAAGGTCACTGGCCATCGTTGGGTGGTTGAAAAGAGGTCTATTTGAGTCTCATGGAGCGTTTGGGATTCTGTCCGTACGGTGCCTTCCTCAAGGTCGAAGATCTGCCGGCTGTGTCACTCCTGTTCTGCGCCAGGCGGTCGAGTCGAGTCGACGAGCAGTTCCTTCGTGAAGACCATGAGATGGTGGATCTCGGAAGCCTCACAGTCCCTGAATCAACTACTCTCCCTGGAACTAACATGGAAGTGGCCCCTTGGAAGACCATTTTCCACATCAAACAGGTGGTTTTCCACTTCCATGTTAGTTCTAGGGAGAATAATGTTTGAGTCTGAGCCTCTTGCAATGAAACATGGTGTGACTGGACATGATGCTGGGCTGTCCAATCGCTGGGTCGTCAAGTAAAGCATTACAGCTAATCACATTTGGCTCTACTCTTGCCTTTGGCATGGCCTTAAGTAACTCCAATGCTTGTTGCGACTGTCCGCCAACCATTCCGACTGTGTAGCCGATGATAATTGGCTGCACTCATGGCCTCAACCAACTTCGATGCTTTCTGCCACTGCCCGCTCTGCTCACAGGCGCTGATGGCAGCACTGTAGCTGATAACATCTGGCTGCACTTTTGCCTTTAGCATGGCCCCAAACAACTTCAATGC